CAGCCTGCGGTCCGCGTCCCGCCAACCCCGCCTGCATCTACGGTGGGATCGGCGAGCCCTGCTAGTCATATCTCGCAGCTCGAGTACCGCTTGTTGACCTTCAACCAGGTGAGTTGGCGGGGAGGTGTTTTCTTTTACTTCAAAGAAATTATTGGAAAGAAGACTAGCACGACAACGTCTGTTTTCAGGCTGTGAGAGCACTGGATTTTTATCCAGTGGTTGATGTTTAATACTCATGTGAAATACGAATATTACCATCCCCTACCGTCTTGGGTAGACGTTTTAGGGGGTACGGGAGTTAAATATATTACTGAAAGCTTGTAGGTCATCCTGTTTCCAGATCAGACATCTGACCACTTTCAGTTTTTTTATAAATTCAGGTGGTTTCCTATTGAATCTCTTTTATACTGTTTGGTTGATTTTAGTACTTATTAATAGATTAAATCTAACATGTGGTGTACATAAAACTGGCTGGATTGCTATACCATTGGAAATGTATAATATACTCATTTGAAGGTCCTATCCACAAAGCCCCCGTTTTCCCGACCACCATATACGAGGTCGACTTATCGCGGTGTTAAGTTAATGAATTAATCTCTGCCGGTGCGATTTTCATGCCCTGGTTCCTTGTGGGAAGAAAAGAAGTGGGAGGCCAGCGGGGAAGGAATATTTTATTTTCTACAAAAGTAGTGGAGAATAGGTAGGAGGAAGTTGACTATTGACAAGCATAGGTTTGCGCCCGAGCGTCTGAGTCTGGCAATTGTGTTAGGTCCTCCAGTATAATCTAACCCACTGTTCTTCTGGAACCATCACCGCTAAATCTCAAAGCTTAATTCTCTCATTTTTTTCTTCTTTGTTTCAAAAAGCCCATCGCTGTTCAAATACAACCATTGCTTTATTATCTGGCTCACCACAAACTGCACCGGGATGATTGGAAGAAACTGGCTGTCTTCTGGGCATTCACCGAGGAACAAATTCAAGCCATCGCATTACATCATTCACGTGAGTACTTAAAATCATCCTTGCATAGGGCAAGAGAGTGAGCGCTGGCGAAGTGTTCACGCTTAGGCTAGCTGTGATATTAATATAATATGTTGTCACCTCCACCACGACCACTCCAATAAAATTAAACGATTTATTTTGCTACATTTAATCACATTTGCCTTGCTGATACTTCAAATAGCACTAGTGGTATGGCCATCACATATGTCGCCCCAACTAATGTTTATTTTGTTCTTGTTTTAGTATTAATGACTGAAGGGTTAGTACCAACAAGACCATAATTGCCGCGCTGCTATATATTTTGCTCTACCAATGCTACAAGTTTCAGAGTTAATTGGTCTGGTTATTTCTAAAGTGTTGACAGAAACCGGTAGGACACCAGAATAGGTTCTGCCCGGGTTACAGGTGGTCTTGCGCCAAAGTAAAGATAGCGAGGGATAGGATGCTGGTTAAATGGGAAGTGCAACTGGCCAAAAACACTCGCGAATACTATACATAACATACTTGTAGGAAGCATGTTTTGGTTTACTATTTCATATTGACGTCGATTTTTGGACTCACCACAAAACGCATTCGTTACGGTTCTGTGGCCTCTACTTTGGCATGGCATCAGGCACTGAAATTAAGGGA